GGATGGATGGATGGATGGATGGATGGAAAGAATAGACAAATGGAAGGCGGGTGGAAGGATGGATGAAGGGATGGATGGAAGGGTGGACAGATCGATGGGGACAATATAAAATTCCCCTGGTGTGTGGGAAGAAAAGATGGGTCTGGGAGCAGGCAGGAGGCAGGGGGAACTAACAGCCACCCCGGGCCAGAGGTGGATAGCGAGGCTGGAGGTGCAGACCACGGAGTTCCTGGTGAACCTGTGCCTGGTGTTCCCATAGCCCAGGTGCTTCCCCATAAGTGGGACCCTGTGCACTTTGCCCACACAGCCGTTGCACCCATGTCCCCTTTCCCCATCATGGGGACATGGTCAGTCCCCATGCAGATGGCAGTGTGGGACCTGTCCAACCCCATAGCCTCCCTATGCCAAGGCCACACTTGGGGAAACTGAGGCAGGGACCACTGCCAGAGCTGGCAGTGGGAGCAGGGGCCAGATATTAACCCCTTGGTGTCTCCCACCACTCCACAGAAGGCAGTGGGTGGGAAGAAGGACCGCTCCTTCTTCCTCTTCACGGACCTGCTGGTGTGCACCACGTTGAAGCGCAAATCAGGCTCCCTCCGCCGCAGCTCCATGAGCCTGTGAGTACCACCAAGGCTTGGGGTCACCCAACGGGATCAGCCCATGGCGTTAGGGCTGTCCTTGGTGGCCGAGTTGGCTTTAGGTTGTGGGGGACATGGGTGCAGCTCAGCCATCTCCCCCCACCCCAACCTCCCAGGTACACGGCAGCCAGCGTGATCGACACGGCCAGCAAGTACAAACTGCTCTGGAAGCTGCCACTGGAGGATGTGGACATCGTCAAAGGTCCGTCACTGCCTGCTGGAGTGTCCCACCCCACCCCAAAAGGCATTACTCACCCCTGGATGGTGAGGAGAAGGTTCCCCCTGCACAGTGCCAGGGAGGAAGGAGTTAACGCCACGGGTGTGTCCCCACACAGGTGCCTCTCAAGCCACCAATCGGGAGAGCATCCAGAAGAGCATCTGCCGCCTGGATGAAGACCTCAGCACGTTGGGGCAAGTCACTAAGCTGTCAGAGACCCTCAGCTTCCCCCACCAGGTATGAGGATGACGGCCCTGGTGCTCTCCCCTGGCCAGATACGTTCCCGGTAGGACCGACTGGGATGTCCTCAGCAGGAGAGAGAACGTGTGGAAGGGCTGGTGGCCATGAGTGTCCTCAAAGGTCCCCAAAGCTACCAAGCCCAAAGCCACTATGGGGTTGGGGCAGCCTCTAAAGGATGAATGGGAGCAGCATGATGTGGTGGCCCTGGTGCTGTCCCCTGGCTGGACAACTTCCCCGTAGGAGCAACTGAGATGTCCTCAGCAGGAGGGAGAACCCGTGGAAGGGCTGATGGTCATGAATGTCCTCAAAGGACTCAAATGCCACCAGCCCTAAAGCCACAAGGAGGGTTGGGGCAGCTTCTGAAGGATGCTTGGGGTGCATGAGGTTGGTCTCACATGGTGGCCCTGGTACTGTCTCCCAGACAGAGACCTTCCCCAGGAGACCGACTGGGATGTCCTTGGTGGGAAGGAGAGCTGTGGAAGGACTAATGACCATGAGTGGCCTCAAAGGGCACAGATGCCACCAGCACTAAAGCCACAGTGGGGTTGGGGCAGCCTCTGAAAGACGCTAGAGGATGGACAGGGGCATCATCAGGCTCGTAGCTGGTGGTGGCCCATCCCTGAGAGCTGAAGCATTGTCCCCATCCCCAGAACCTGGACGATGTGATCAAGGACCTGACGGCTGCCATCCACCGGGAGCTGGCGGAGAAGCAATCCCTGTCCTTCAGCATGGCCTTCCCCCCAAATAAGGTGGAGCTCAGCACTACCAAAGCCGACGGCACCGAGTCCTTCATCTTTGAGTTCCCCAACCCCGATGCCCGGCTCGGATTTGAGCAAGCCTTTGAGGACGCCAAGAAAAAGCTGGGTAACACCAGGGACTGGGGAGGTGGACATGGTCATAGGCTTGGCATCACACCTTCTCTTTGGTAGACCCTTTTCTTCCACCACTCCTTCATCCTCCAATTTAATTTTCCCAGCTTCCAGCAAGAACTGCCTGGACCCGGAGTTCCTCAAGGCCATCCCCATCATGAAGACACGCAGCGGGATGCAGGTACTTGGCAGTTGGGTTCAAGCATCTCCCAGGAACCACGTTCCCCTCCGTTTTGGCTGGCTCACCGCCAGATCCAGAGACTTCCCGCGTCTCAGATGACCCAACTCATCCCATCTTTTGCTCCTTCGTAGTTTTCTTGTGCTTCTCCAAGCCACGGCAGTCCGGAAAGCTCCCACGAGGTTTGGGTTTGCAACAGCGACGGTTACGTGGGGCAGGTTTGTTTGCTCAGCATCCGTAAGGAGCCCAC